CATTCCTGCCCCCGTGGCCCCTCCCTGCCCTCAGTGCTCTCCTTTGGGGAATGGTGTGAAGGCATCGCCTCAGGCAGCCTGACCATCGCCCCCATACGCCCAGCCTCCCGCCAGCACCGGGGCTCCCTGTTTTCAGCCTTAGCTTCTGAAGTTTCTCCACTTATTTAACGTCCTTCTTCTTCCCCCCACCCCCCAGGATAAAGGGCGTCCGTGCTCAGGGCGGGAAATAGGGACCAGGGGGAAACGGAGCCCACGGGCTGCTTCCTTCCAGCCCCTTCTCTGGCCCTTAGACCCGGAGGGCGCTGGCGGGGAGGCACCAGGGCAGGGCGGGCTCGGGCGGAGGGGCGGGGGGGGCTCACCGTGGTGGCGCTCCGGGACCCCGTGTCGCAGAGCGGGGACGCCAGGAGTCCCAGAGACCGCATGGCCTCATAGATGTTGTCACCTGAAGCAGAGGACGAGGGGAGGCACAGCTGACCGATGCCCGAGGCCCCCTCGGCTGCTGCCGGCACCCACTGATTCACTCAGCGGTCAGCTGTGCGAACCCCTCTTCTTGCCCAGCCTTCTGCCAGGGACACAGCAGTGAGGGAGGCAGCCGGGCTCACAGTCCGGTGGGGGGACAGAGCTGCCCCCAGACAGGGGATGACCCCAAGTGGGCAGGGCTGAAGAGGGGGAGCCCAGATGGCTCCTGTAGGGGTGTCTGGAGGGCTTCCTGGAAGAGGGAACATCTGAGCCTGTCAGGGAAGGGAGAGCTGTGCCCAGGCCAGAGGGGCGCATGCAGAGGCCCAGCAGTGAGAGACCCTGCCATGTTTGTTTGTTTTTTTTAATCCTCCTCCTGCCCCGACAGGATATGTTACATTGATTTTATTTTTAATTTTTTAAATTGATTTCAGAGAGGAAGGGAGAGGGAGAGAGAGAAACATCAATGATGAGAGAGAATCGCTGATTGGCTGCCTCCTGCACGCCCCACATTGGGGATTGAGCCCACAGGCGGGCATGTTACATCGATTTTAAAGAGAGGAAGGGAGGAAGAGAGAACCATCCATTGATTGCCTTCCCTACGCATCCTGACCGGGGATTGAACCCAAAACCGAGGTATGCGTCCTGACCGGGAAGCGAACCTGCAGCCTTTGGGTGTATAGGACAACGCTCCAACCAACGGAGCCACCAGACCAGGGCAAGCTGCCATGTTTGAGGAACTATAATAGGTTTGTTCAGTCTGGATGTAGATATTTTTGTTTTGTTTTGCTTGTTTGTTTGAGAATGGGAGTGTACCATGTGAGAGATGAAACCAGGAAAGTCAGGGGGCGGGGGGGGGGGTCGGCTGGGTTTATGGGAGTCCTTGAGAGGCGTTAGGGAGCCCGAACTTCATCCTACGGCACTGGGGAGCCATGGAAGGTCTTTGAGTCGAGTGACAGGGTCAGAGTTTTAGAAGAACTGCCAGGAGTGAAGGCTGGAGGAGGAGGAGGAGGAGGAGGAGCTGGGTGTGGGGGTCTGGGAGATGGAGCCTGAGGTGGGTTGTGGCTGTAGGTGGCTGGGTGAGTGGGGTGCCTGGGGTCAGGGAGTGGCAGACACTGAGCAGAGGAGAAAAACAGGTTTGGGGTGAGTGCTGATGCCCTCAGAATCTGTGGGCTGAGTCTGGGGACCCCAGAGAGGCCCGGGGGGCAAATGTTTAGGAGGCCCCAAGTAGGGGAAGGCCGGGGGGGGGTTGTTGCTGGGGGAGAAGAGGAAGGAGGCAGGAGGTTGCCTGGGTCGCAGGACGGGGCCCCTGGCTTACCAGTGTTGTGATTGGGGCCCAGCTCCGGTTTCCCCGTGGTCGCCATCCTGGGGGCATGGGGAGGGAACCAGCATTAGTACAGCGACGTCCGGGGGTGGAGAGAGGCCCAGGGGAACCGGAAAGCCCACCAGGCCCCAGAGAGCCATGTCCCTGCTTCAGAGTGAGCCAGGACGAGGCCTGTCCCTGCCCACGTCTCTTCGCCCACAATCCCCTGCCACACAGCCCTTCCTCAGTTCCCCCAGTCTCCACCTTATGCCAACGAGCAATGTTCCTCCAAAGTCACCATTTATGCAGACTATTTAAGCAAGTCTGCTCCATCTACCTGCTCATGATTCCCTTAATATTTCTCTTTAGGCGTTCTGTCTCTCTCTCCCCCCTTCTTTCCCTCCCTCCCTCCCCTAAGCTCCAAGAGCCCTTCCTTGGCCTCTGTAATTTGTTTCCTGCGCCCACGCAGCCCAGCTGGCTCACTCTCTCTACCTCGGTGACTTTCTAAATAAACTTTCCCTTGTATTTGAAAAAAAATCCCTTTTTAAATTGGCTCATTTGAATACTCTTATTTAAAAAGTACACTTGGCCTCAATACCACAAATTTGTAAATCCGCTGAATAAGTATTTATGGGCCACCACCCATGAGCTGGGTACTGTTGAAGGCACTGGGGACACAGATCAACAAAGACCCCTAGAGTGGACACACTAGTGGGGAGAGAGAGCTAGAGATAGCATTGATCAGATGATTGATAGATAGATGATAGATAGAGAATTTGAATCAACAATCAGCAGTAGAGAGAAAAGTATTATGAAGGAAAATGCAGATGGAAGGGAGCAGAGGGTGGAGGGGGTGCACGCGTAGTTTCCATAGGGTGTCTGGGAGCCTCCCTGAGAAGGTAGCTTTTGAGCAAAAGCCTGGACCAACCAAGGGGACCAGCTGTGCAGAAATCATGGGCAGAGAGTTCCAGGCAGAGGGAACAGTCTGTACAGAGGCCCGGAGGCAGGAGCAGGAACAGCAAAGGAACAGCAAGGAAAGGAGTGTGGCTGGGAGGAGGGACTGTGGGCGTGGGAAGAGGGGAGTTCCGGGAGGTGAGGTGGGGGTTGGAGATTGATCAGGTCTTAATCCAGGTGAGTGAAGATTATGGCCTTGACTTTGAGGGACCCCAGCTGACTGTTTAAAAAATCTATCTATCTATCTATCTATCTATCTATCTATCTATCTATCTATTTTATTGATTTCAGAGAGGAAGGGAGATAGGGAGATAGAAACATCGATGATGAGAGAGTATCACTGATTGGCTGTCTCCTGCACTGCCCATACTGGGGGAGATCGAGCCTGCAACCTGGCCATGTGCCCTTGGCCGGAATCGAACCTGGGACCCTTTAGTTCACATGCCGACGCTCTATCCACTGAGCCAAATGGCTAGGTCCTGACTGGTTTAACAGGATCTCTCAGGCTGCTGCATGGGGAACAGGCTGTGGGGCCAGGAGTGGAAGGAAGCAGGGAGAGCCGCTAGGAGCTGTTATATTATAAATAAAAAACGCTTGCCAACGAGACATAAGCAGAAAATGACCGGGAAAATAAAAGAAAGCCCAAGGATGGTTTAAATCTGTAGCTCAGCTGGTCGCCGAGGTTCTCTTGGCAAACGCAGGCAGGTGTTAGTTAGAAAGGCGTCCGAGGCCGAGCAGACCCGAGCGGGTTGTGCCCTTGGCACAATTAGAACGATGCGAAGAGAATAGAAAGCGGATTACCCGCCCCCTGAAAACCTCTTTTAAACGTGGAAATATTTCAGACTTAGAGAAAAGTTGCAAAAATGGTACAAAGAACATCTGTTTAATTTTTACTCAGATTGCCCTATTATTTTTACTCCTTTTGCTTTAGCCTCTGTCCTCCCTCCCTCCCTCTCTCTTTCCCCCAGGTATATCCGCCCCACCCCCTTCCCTTAATCATTTGAGGGTAAGTTGCCTGCATCATGGCCCTTTACCCTTAAGTACTTCCATGTATTTAGATATTTCCATGGTTTTGTGTTTTTAATGCCATGGCCCAGAATGCCATCTTAAGTTGCCTAAAGGTTAGCCAGTGCTTTGAGAATCTTTGAGATTCTTTGAGAGTCACTGGATGTAGTGGGGGGAAAGCTGGTCTGAGGGTCTGGGGCTTACAAATCACTCAGGCCCGGGTTCCAATCCTAAAAAACGACTGGCATGCACAGGCCAGTTCCATGCCATTTGGCAAATGACTTCATGTCTCTAAGCCTTAGTTTCCTCTAGAGATTATGGCAAACTATGGCCTGAGGGGCAAATCCGCTCCACCACCTCTTTTGGTTCCTCTTGTGAGCTAAGAAGGAGTCGAGCAGGAATATAGCCTAATTACCTTTTTCCTGAAAAAAAAAAAGAGGTAAGAGAAGGGAGCAGACATTACTAATCAATCCCAGCATCCTTCCCCACTAAACTTAGATGCGCCTCCAACCCCTTTCCACCAAGCTCTCTAGTACCTAGAACAGTGCCTGGCACATAGTAGGCCCTCAACAAATAGGTGATGACTGCTTTACTGACCAGAACTGGAAAGTAAGACAGGCTAGTAAGCCAGGACAAGCAGAATCGGGAAACTAAGACAGACAGTTAACCAGCAGTTTGCATCCATCCAGTAAATCCTGTCTTCCCTAAACCAGGCACACGTGGCACATTGCAGACGGATCATGAGAATTCTCGCTTCATATTACACAGCGTTTTACAAAGTATCGTACTTTAAAAGATATTATGCTTGTAAGAACATGTAATAAATAACTTCAAAATGGAATGCATATTTAATTTTAAAGGGTGTCTTTAACATTTATGTAAAACGTTTTTTCTACTAGTCCAATAGAAACTTAGCTGACTACTGGGTAAAGCTAGCAATAAAACTACTGGTCTGCAATGCTGAGCAAACTGACAGCAATTTACAGCGGATACAGGTCATCTCCCGACAGGTAACATCTAGGCCTCAGCTGTATTTCAGCTCCAGACCCAGAAAAGCAGCGAAATCAGGTGGGCCACACCAGGACCAGCTGCCATGACGGACTGCCCCGCCCTGACACTGACCAGTCCGTGGAGATCAGGACCCTGGAGGAGCAGACCTGGAAATGTGATGAATAGTCTGCTGAGACCCTCCCTGAGACTCCCCTGAAACTCCTGCTGCCTGAGAGAAATAAAGGCCTCAGGACAAAGGACCCAGCACAGTCTCCATCACAGTTAACCAGCAGTTTGCATCCATCCAGTAAATCCTGTCTTCCCTAAACCAGGCACACGTGGCACATTGCAGACGGATCATGAGAATTCTCGCTTCATATTACACAGCGTTTTACAAAGTATCGTACTTTAAAAGATATTATCTTATTAGAACATGTCATAAATAAACTCAAAATGCAATGGGTATTTCATTTTAAAGCGCGCCTTTAACATGTAGGTAAAACTTTTTTTGTACTTGTTCAATAGAAACTTATGTGGCCAGGGGGTAAAGCTGGCAATAAAACGACTGGTCCGCAATTAAGGGGGGTAAACGGCTTGCACTGCTCCTCCCCAGCCAGAGGGTAGCTTCACTCCCCTGCTCAGGGAGACAGATGCTGAGCAAACTGACAGCAATTTACAGCGGATACAGGTCACCTCCCTAAAGGTAACATCTAGACCTCAGCTGTATTTCAGCCCCAGACCCAGAAAAGCAGGGAAACCAGGTGGGCCACACCGGGACCAGCTGCCATGACGGACTGCCCCGCCCGGACACTGCCCAGTCCGTGGAGACCAGGACCCTGGAGGAGCAGACCTGGAAACGTGATGAATAGTCTGCTGAGACCCTCCCCGAGACTCCCCTGAAACTCCTGCTGCCCGCGAGAAATAAAAGCCTCAGGACAAAGGACCCAGCACAGTCTCCATCCCAGGAGCATGCCGGTGGCGCCTGCTTCTTCCCCCGCAGGCCTGCATCCCCTAAACCCTAAGGAACCCCATGAGACTTGCAACCAGGGCAGCAATAGGCCGCAGCAGCTCATCCCAGACACCCCCCTGAACCTGTCCCAAGGCCCCCAGCAGCCCAGCAGGCTCACTCCCCAGCCCTTTCCCGTCACTGTCCCCCGCGTTAATAAATGTCCTCTAAGAGGTCGTTTCAAAGAGAGCTCATGGGACCAAAACCAGGAGCTCTTCGCCCGGGACCGAAGATCCAAGTTCTCCACAGGATGCAACAGACACTCCACAGTGCTGTGTGTTCCCGAGGAGATGGAAGGTTTAGCTACTCATTTCAATGACGAGTGATGCGGCCAAGTAAATAAATGTTTTTCGAGTTTAAAAAATAAAATTCACCCGGACTCGTGCTGTGAAACTTCTGCAGGGAGTCGAGCCCCCACACACTCCGGGTGGCCCTAGACCAGTGGTTCTCACGTCGGCTGCACATGAGAATCACCTGGGAATCCTTTTAAAATCCTGATTTCTGGGCCTCATCCTCCGGAAATTCTGTTTCTTTGTTACTAATGTTGTGGCCCCACCCCACGACAAAGAAACAGAATTTCCGGAGGATGAGGCCCAGAAATCAGGATTTTAAAAAGATTCCTAGGTGATAGGCCCCCTGCCCAGGGACAAAAGCTGTGTTCACCTAAAAATTAAAGGTCCAACCGAGAGGCAACAAGCTTTTATCTGAGGCCAAATTGCCCGGCGATGAGCTTTTATCTGAGATAAAAAAAGAAGAGCGGCCGAAACCGGTTTGGCTCAGTGGATAGAGCGTCGGCCTGCGGACTGAAGGGTCCCAGGTTCGATTCCGGTCAAGGGCATGTACCTGGGTTGCGGGCACATCCTCAGTAGGGGGTGTGCAGGAGGCAGCTGGTCGATGTTTCTCTCCCATCGATGTTTCTAACTCTCTATCTCTCTCCCTTCCTCTCTGTAAAAAATCAATAAAATATATTTTTAAAAAATCAATAAAATATGTTTAAAAAAGAAAAAAAAGAAGAGCAATTCAGGAAACAACTGGCTCAGGCAGAAGTCCACATCGTGTCCCGATTAGGAGGCGGGTCTTGAGAAAGGGCAGGGATACAGCGACCCCCATGGAAGGGGGCATTTCTGTGGGTGCAGAGACGGGAGCACAGGGATTTTCATTCTAAAAACTGCCTTAGGCGGCCAGCCTAGTCGCGCCATCAGCCCGTCGTCATAGTTATAATACTGCCTCCTTGTTATTCTGCAAACAGCACTTTGGATACGGTGCGGCTTTGATCCCAGCCCAGAGGTCACCTTGCGCTTTTCACATCCAAAGCTTTGAGGGAGGAAATGTTCCAGGCGCCTTTTTCGCCCAGCGCCCTCCCCGCTGCCCTCTGACGGCTGTCAGTCTGTCCTCTGTATCTATGAACCTGTTTCTATTTTGTTTGTTGCTCTGGCTACATTTTAAGGTGGTTCTGCTTATATTATTATTATTATTTATTTTATTTTTTAAAAAATAGATTTTGTTATTGATTTCAGAGAGGAAGGGAGAGAGAGAGATAGAAACATCAAGGATGAGAGAGAATCATTGATTGGCTGCCTCCTGCACGCCCCCTACTGGGGGGGATCGAGCCCACACCCTGGGCATGTGCCCTTGGCTGGAATCAAGCTTGGGACTCTTCAGTCCCTAGACCGATGCTCTATCCACTGAGCCAAACCGACTAGGGCCAAACCCACAAACTTTTGGTGTGCAGGACAACACTCCAACCAACTAAGCCATCCTGCCAGGGCAATGGAATTGAATTTTAATGGAAATAAATCCAAATCTCTTTCTGTCTAGTTACAAAAAAAAAAAAGTTTCCTGACCCTGTGACATGTTTTAGGATGTTTAGAATGAGAAGAGTGTGGTTTTGGGGGTTACGTGGTCTGGATTCTTGGCCCTGGTCTGTTCTCCCGGCCCCCCCTGCCCATGCAGAGGTAGGCAACATCTGGTGGCTTTGCCTGCCCACCACCCACTCCACTTCTTTGGCCATAGCTTCTGGCTCTCCTTTGGGGAACCCCTCCCCACTCTCAGTCCGTTTGATCATGTGAAGCTGGGTCTATTTCCAGCTCCAGGGCTGCACGAAGAGCCCACGTTCGGCCCATTGGAGCATCCCAGCACCCGGCCACGGTGCCTGGTCCGTGCAAGGACCTGTGATTGAAAGCAGCCCCCTGGCTTCGTTGGAACGACCAGGAACAAGGTTCGGTCCTTCCCCTGCAGCAGTGGAGCTGGTGGCGTATAAACCTGGAGCCACCAGGGGCTTTTTGTCACACGGCAAGGTCAGAGCCTGCCTGGGAATAAAGCACCATAGAGGGAAGCAGAGGTGAGAGATGCATGGAGGAGTTTCCTGACAAAATTGAATCCCTGGATCCAGCCACACCTGAAGCTCATGCAGGACCAAAACACTCTCTAATTCTCCGTAAGCCAGTTGAAGCGGCCGGTTTTAGTCCCTGGCAAAGCAGAATCCTGTCTCAGACAGGACAGAAAGATTCTGTCTCCTCAGGAGTCCCAAGATGGGATGAGACTGTGAATGAGCCAGATGATGTGGCCAGTGGAAGAATCAATGAATGGGAGGGATTGAGAGGGGGCTGGGGAGGAGACAGAAGGGACGCAGCGTGGCCTGGGGCCCCGTACCTGTGCCTCTGGCCCCTCCAGCCTCTTGTCACCAGGAGGTAGGCAATGCTGCCGACGAGGAGGGATGCGGCGGCAAGAGATCCGATGAGGATGGCGGCCACGATCCCGGTGCTCACGGGCAGGGGTGTAACGGGCAGCTCCGTAAAATTTTCTGAGGAGAATGAGAGGTCATAGAGCACTGATGTGTCACTGCCACTTCCCGCCCCAGAGCTCTCTCCTGCTTTTCAGACCTGAGTTGGTTCCACTGCACATGAAACCCAGCACATCACCCGGCCGGAGTGGCTCCGAAAGGCTGTGGGTTCGATTCCCCGTCAGGGCACGGATGGAAGGCAACCGATTAGTGTTTCTCTCTCACATCCATGTTTCTCTCTTTGGGGGACTACCGGGCACTCGACTTGAAGGGTTCTCGACATCAGCATGCCAGATTTGGGACAGAGCCTACCTGACCTCCAACCCCCACCATGAGGACCCCCAGCCTGTAATCTCAAGTTGGACACTTATGTCCCAGCCCTTGTTAGCAGCTGAGTTCATAGATTATGAGATCAGAATACTGGGTTCTAGTCCCTGCCTCCTACTTGCTATGTTGAACGTGGGCAGATTGCTCAACCTTTCTGAGCCTCAGTTTTCCCATCTGAGAAATGGGGATAATAATACCTACCTTATAGGGTTGTTGTGAAGATTGAATGAGGTTTCTCTCTCTCACACACACACACACCTCTCAGTTCTCCAACAAAGTAGAGTCTATGCCAGCGGTTCTCAGCCTTGGCTGCACATGAGAATCACCCTTGAGTGTGGCTCTTCCTAAGCCTTAGGAGGACTCTAATGAAGTTAATAACAATGTACCTACCTATATAGTTTAAGTTGAAAAAATTTGGCTCTCAAAAGAAATTTCAGTCGTTGTACTGTTGATATTTGGCTCTGTTGACTAATGAGTTTGCCGACCACTGGTGTATGCCATTGTAGAGATGAGGCACAGAGAGGTGAACTGACCTCCCTGAGGGCTCACGGTAAGTGACCACACCTGGGCCACCTGAACTAATAACCGCTCTGTGTGGCTTCTAAAGTATGACTGAGTCCCAAGAGCCCTTGAATGGTGGGAATGAGCTATTTCAGGCTCTGAGCAGGTAAAGACTGTTATTTCCAAATGGACTAGAGCAGCGGTTCTCAACCTGTGGGTCTCGACCCCTTTGGCGGTCAAAAGACCTTTTCAAGGGGTCGCCTAAGACCATCCTGCATATCAGATATTTACATGATGATTCATAACAGTAGCAACATTACAGTTATGAAGTAGCAACGAAAATAATTTTATGGTTGGGTCACAACATGAGGAACTGTATTTAAAGGGCCAGAAGGTTGAGAACCACTGGACAAGAGCCTATATCTATATCTATTCAAATTAATAAATGTTTGAGAGTTCTACCCATCTCCCTAAAAGTTTATCTGTTCAAAGTGCTCAAAACCCATTTTAAACTTTAGTCTTGTCACTGCGTGGAAGGGGATAGCCTGTGTCCAGACTTGTCTGGTATCTGGGCTTATTCAGTAGTAGTCTCCATTCCCAGGGAATTGGCTAAGTTAGACCCATTTTGCAGATGTACAAACCAAGGCCCAGGGGGTCACTTTGAGCAGAGGATAGAAAGCTGTCCCTTTTCCAGAAACTGCACCAGCAAGTTTTGCACTTCTAGCTTATCCAATCCCCACAACAGCAGGTAAAATTCAGTGGCTTCCCTGCGTGACTCAGGAGGTGGGGCAAGGCTGAGGCTGCGTTCTGGCTCAGGGAACCTCCCAGCACCTGTCCTTCGCCCCCTCACTAATTGCCCAATCTTCCCACAATATCCAGAGCCCCCTCGGCCAGGACCTGCTTGCTCTGCCAGCTGCTGCCCAGTCCACCAACCCACTCTCATCACCCCAGACTCCCTGCCTCATTCTCTTGGTTGTCCAGCCTTTGCCCATGCTGTTCCCTCTGCCTGGCATGCTCTTCCCCACGTGCTGTAACTCCTCATTTTCCCATTCGCAGCTCTTCTGGAAGCTTTCTCGGATAACCCAGGCCAAGGAGACTCCTGATACCTTCTCTTCATAGCTTACTCAGTTATGCAATTAGTGTCTTTTTAAACTATACATATTTTTATTGATTTCAGGGAGGAAGGGAGAGAGATAGAGAGATAGAAACATCAATGATGAGAGAAAATCATTGGTTGGCTGCCTCCTGCACGTCCCCCACTGGGGGTGATTGAGCCTGCAACCCAGACATGTGCCCCTGGCTGGACTCGAACCTGGGACCCTTTAGTCCACAGGCTGATGCTCTATCCACTGAGCCAAACTGGCTAGGGCACAATTAGTGTCTTCATGTTGGTAGAATGGGCATGTGGGTGTCTCCCCAGCACCTCTACCATGCCACCATTGTGGACAGGAGAATAGCAAGGTCATATCACAGAAGAGCCTATCGCTGCAATCAACTTTGGGAAAAATGGGCTTTTTCAGAGGGATTGACCCCAATCCCAGTTCTGCCTCGGGCCTCATTAACATATTCCAATCAGTATAGACCCACCCCTTGTCACAGTTGGTTGGATCAGGATGGGCAGCAATCCAGATGGAAGCCAATCAGAACCCTTCACTCACTCGGCCTGAGTGATTAGTTCAGGCGGATCCCCCAGAGTGAGGGGAAGGGCTGTGGTTGGAGTCTGGGAACCAGACATCCCTTCTTCCCAGCGTCCTGGAGTTGTGAGGCCTGTGAACACAGGTCATTTTGCCACCAGGAAGGCATCCATGCCCCCTCCTTCCTTGGGAAGAGAACCTTGAGTTTCCGCTGGGCAGAAGCCTGCCGCAAATAAAGACATTTTCCAGCCTCGTGCGTGAATAGCTTATGCCTTAAAGCACCGTGTTGAGCAAACAAAACGCGACATAGAAACTCCGGGCAATTTCACAACCAGATTTCTGTGTCTACAATTGCCCACGTTATAAGGACATGGGTCCTACTGGGTCGGAGCCCACCCTACTGACCTCATATCACTTGGGCACCTCTCTGAAGACCCTATTTCCAAAGACGGCCGGCCCCATTCTGAGGACTGCGGGTTGGGACAGCGTATCTTCCTGATGGAATTATGGGACCTAATTCCATACACAACACCGCCCGCCTGGCTGGCAGGCACCTGCAGAGCCCTTGAGCTGCTCTGGATTCTCCATCTGTCCCTTTGCTGCTTCCATCAGCCAGAAGCAGTTTCCGCCGCTGCAGCAAAAACCCTGCCCGGTTCGCACGATGAAGCGTCCTTTTTAGAACTCGCTGCATTTCCTGCCTTTTATTATAGACACTGAGCCAGCAGACAGGGAGCCTGTGAATGACTGTATTTTCCAGAGTTGATTGCGACCGGACGCGCTTCTGCGATGCGGCCTTGCTCTCCTCTCCAGCGGGAGGCGCTGACACCCCGGCCTGGAGTCGGGGCCAGCCTCGGTGACTCCCTTGTAATCCAAAGGATGAACGCAGCGGAGCCCTGGCCGGCCGGCTGGCGCGGTTGGTTGGAGCAGCGTCCTGTACCCCCCCTTCTACCCCTCCACCCCCCTCAAAAAGGTTGCGGCTCCAATTCCCGGTCAGGGCACATACCTAGGTTGTGGATTCGGTCCCCCGCTGGGGTGTGTATAGGAGGCAACCCATTGATGTTTCTCTCTCTCTCTCTCTCTCTCTCTCTCTCTCCCCACCTGATTCTCTAAAATCAATAAACATGTCTTCAAGTGAGGATTAAAAAAAAAAGAATGCCGTGTAGGTGACTTCCAAGGCGAGGTCCCGAGAGGCCCCCCCATTTCTGCCGTGGCCTTTTGGAACACTGACTCTCCACGTGCTCTCTCTCCCTCAGGGCCCGCGGCCACACTGTGTTTTCAGGCCGCCCTGGGCCTGCGAATCCTTCGCCTCGACTCCTTCCAGAGACGCCCCTTCTTAGCTTCCTGTTCAACCTCCCACGGTCACGTGACCCAGGCTCTGATGCACCCCGTGAGACTAGGCTCCAGAAGCTAGAGACCTCGGCAGGGCCCCGGACCAGGCCTTTGAGGCGGAGGACGAGGTGGACGTGCCCACGGACGTGTAAACGCCACCAGGGCAGAGATCTCCGTCCTGTTCCTTCCGTGAACTCGGTGCCTCTCACACAGCAGGTGGGCAATGGATGTTTGTTGAATGAATGAATGAATGAACGAACGAACCAACAAATGCAGCTTTCCAGTGCCCCGCAGGCAGGCAGGCAGGCAGGCACAGTTTAGCTGAGGAATTTCTGGTTCCTGGTTCCCAGCCTGGAGGTCCCGTGAGCACCCAGGACTCTATGAAGCCCCTTCCTTCCTTCCTTCCTTCCGGTCTTTTGTTCTTTCTTTATTTTAGTCAATCCTCATCCAAGGATATTCTTCCATTGGTATTTAGGAAGAGTAGAAGAGAGAGGGAAACACAGAGAAACACATCGATTGGTTGCACGAGCCCCAACCAAGGCCCAGACTAGGGAGAAGCCTGCAACCAAGGTACATGCCTTTGACCAGAATAGAACCCGGGACCCTTTGGTCCGCAGGCCGACGCTCTATCCACTGAGCCAAACCGGCCAGGGCATATTAAGCCCCTTTCTGCACAGGCCCGCTGCAGGGGCTTCCCTTAGAGCCCAATCCTTGCATGATTAGGAGAGATAAAGCCTGCAGGTTACCCGGAATGCAGGGAGTGCACCCTGCCCTCTCCATCCCCCACCAGGGAGGGGCTGAACTTGGGGCCACAACGGCCCTCAAAAATAAATGCCCCGGTTGCCAAGGTGACTGTCCCAGCTCTGTCCCTAATTCCCATGAATTCAGCCTCTGCCTTTTGCTTTGCTCTTCCTTTTCCATTGAGCCGCACCTCTCTGCTTCCCCACCCCCTATGCTCAGTCAAGGCAGGTCCTGCCAGGCCCTGTTACTTCCTGTTCTCCACGGGAGCCCTCTCTCCCCGGGACCCCTCTCTCCATGGGACCCTTCTCTCCATGGGACCCCTCTCTCCACGGGACCCCT